GCGTATGCAATAAACCACTCGGTTTTTCCAACCTGTGTGCCTTTTTTGCATACGTTATTTCTCGAGAACGAAAAGCAACCCAGCGAAAAAACTTCAGAGCAATGTTTCTCGGGTGAAACGAAGCCCACATGCCAAAATTCAACTAGTTTTAAGCACTATCAAAAATGGCCGAAAAATCTAGGGGACGTTCTTGCACGCGGCCTTTCATTTATCGTGTTATCCATGCATGCATTTAAGCTTTGGAAAGCACCTAAAAAAGGGTTTAAAACTTCCTTAATTTTAATCTCAAGCATGACCAGAGTCGGCGTAAAATTTTTGCCACAGAAAAAACAGACAAAGCTTTATATGACGTCCAACTTCTGGTCCTTTTTTCCCTTGTAAATATTTATGTTGAATGAAAAGATATTCATGTTATTGATATCTCAGCCAGTGAAAGGCAAAACTGTTTATTAAATTTGTTATCGCTAGAGTTCCGAGTTCTCTAGTTCCCAAGTAGAGCTGCCATAGATCAGGAACCGCGGTTTACCAGTACAATAGAACATAGGTTTAGCAACTCTATTGACCAATCAGAGCGTACGTAGTATCTCATTTATTTTATAAACACTGATAGACAATGACTACACACGTACATGCATGTTACCTTGAAACAGAAATAATTATTTTCTTTTTACTGCCCCAATAAGGCAAAAAAAATTTTATAAGAATCTCGAATTGCTTATATGAAAACTCACCAAGTCTTGTTACAAACACCCTTTGACATCCTGAAACCAGACATTACTACTTGAACTGACTCACTGACTCAACCTTTAAAAAAAACACAACACCAACAGGAGAAGAACAATTAAACAAGAGGATTCCATTGTATGCCTTGCATTACAACTATGTTTTACGCATATAATAAAAGTGCTGGAAGTAATAAATGTATATTACTGAATACAGTCATGTAAATTCATTACAAACAACTGGTGACTTTATCAGATTAATGACGGGCTGTATTGTTTTGAATTAGTTCTAACAGTGTAGTGCATGAATATCTTGCTTTTGTTTACAAACTGAGGAAACTTTCCAGAAACCAAGCTCTCCATGAAAACCCAGCTGTCTCCTTTGGAAACTGTGCCTCTGGAATCTCCTCTCTCTTAGGATTTACAGTGATTTTCCCAAGGGAGGGAAGAGCTGGGATAGTATAGACACATGTATTTTCTGAAATTAGACATCAAAAGTTACCTCCTTTAAATTGGGTAATTATAGTGACAAGCATTTCAAAATTCCTTTTTTTTAGTGCTGAAAATGGAAAATCCATGCATTTCAGGACTGCTGTACAGCAGTGGTAGCTTTCTAATGATGAAGAAAACACTGACACTAAAAACACTTCACATGTATGAGAGACAACAACAAATCAAGTATTCAATATTATCAACACAAAAAAAAATTGAAATTTCAGCTAAAATTGTTACACTAGTGCTACACAGTTTCTAATCTTATTGGAAAAAGTATAGCTGTTTATTTCCAGACTCTCGAAAAGCAATAGAAAATGTATTATGAAACTGCAATGATGCATGAAATGCAAAAGAACAGAATTCTAAAGATAACATTTACTGACAAGTTAGTGACTTGATTTTGCATATTTATCATTTTAGAGGATCTTAGATGATGCATGAAAATGTGAATTAACAGAACTTGAAAAATAACATTATGACGAGATAGTAACTCAATTTTGCATATTTATTAGTCTAATAAATTGCAGCTGTAACAGTTAGTTTTTACAATTTTACTTCAATGTATTTTAATGATATCAGAAAAGCAAAACAACATGAATTTTGTGTAGAATCTGACGTGGGTCCCTTACCCCACCTTATTCTTAGCTACCTAAGCAGCTAGGCTGGGGGGCTTCGTTCTCTGGGTGAGTGTGCTATCACCCCAATTCATTCACTGGGTGTGTCTGCCAACCACCCAAGTTTCTGCTTTGGGGTTTGCATCCCCTAACCACCCAACGTTGTGTTTATGCTTTGGGGTTTGAGTCCACTAACCGCCCCACTTTGTTTGCAGGGTGTGTCCGCTAACCACCCAATTACCTGTCCAGGGTGTGTCGCTTCCACCCACTCTCGTTGCTATCCCAGGGAGCACCCAGTGTCCATGGTCCCATTTACTGCCAGATTTGTCTTNAATCACTGGGGATGTTTAATTTGGGTCAAATTTGCCAAAATTCCGAAGCAAAAATTTGAAAGCCAACTTACCGTCATCAACCCGTGCTTTGTTCTCTGATAAAGCACACTGTTTCAGCCAATCAGAGCGCGCGTTATATGGAAAGTTTATTATAATTGTTATCTAGAGACAGCCAAAAGGCATGACGCTATATTTACGCATAACTTCGAGAGGCTTTCAAGTTGGAAGGGCATTAACAATGGAGAACTAGAATTTTCTGTCTTGTGAAATCAACTGAATCAGAACAAGCCCTATTAGTCTGTGATTCTTTCGAGTGTACATATCGGTAACGTAAAAATTATAAAGAACAAGCTTCAAACGACTACGTAGAGGAATGCACGCAAATAAACAAACTCAGATCCTGTCGTCTGATACTAACGATCAAACGAGCAGTAAGCGCTGAGATTGCCATTGCACAGGCTAGTTAACCTCAAGATACCATTGTAACACATCTAAAATGAGTGATAAGGATCTTAATACTAATCTGGAAACTTAAAACAGACGCTGGAGAGTAAAACTAACGAAAACTCTGCGAACGCTTACCTTCCTTGATCGATCGACGAGCAGAGACAAACCCACGAGGCAACTGTCTTCACAACTAAACAAACGCTCTTCACCACTATATTGATGGGCAGGCTACATGGTGAAGCATTTTACAAAAAGATGAAATCACCCCATGATTGAACAATACGACTAAGTCCCAAATTAACCTCAAATAAAGCGTCCCCTGCTCGAGGCAGACGTACGAGTCAAGGCTGCATTTCCTGCTTTGGTACCTTTCGCTTTCCAAATTTGGATATAGCTTCTTTTTATTGGACAATTTGTTAGACTGGATTATGGACTACAGTTAAAGGACTGTAGACTTTCTGCGAACTTTTAAGGGGGTCTTATACTCTCAGATATAAATTTTTCTCCAGAAAACCATTTTTTTGGAACATGAAGATTCAACATCCCTGTCCATTTGTAAATCGTATTTTGAAACGATTTTCCTCTAATTACTCCTGAATTTACTTTTAAATTAAGAAATCTGAACACTTCTAGCTATATTTCAACATAGCAACACCCATAGCAACCATTGTTTACAGTCTGAAAGTACTCACAAAATGGATTCAATTCAGTACAGTTTAATGATACTTTACACAAACGCTTTAAAGATGTTTAGTTGCGAGAATTTTGCATCGTGGTCCTGAACATTATTTCTTCTACCATCTTATACGCTCCTTACACTTGGTTAACATTTCTATGACTGGT